AAAATCTCTCTCTCTCTCCGCAGGGGGAGGAGCGGCTTCAACTCCTGCGGCGGGCAGGGAACTCCGCGGCAAAGCGGGGCTCCGGCGGAGGAGGGATGCTCGGGGGGCTGCAGGGGGGGAGTTTCGTACCGGTTTCTTTTTGAAATTTAAAATTTAAAAAAAAAAAAAAAAAGCGCTTTCAAATAAAAACACCTGGAGATGAGTCATTGTTCGTTGCTATTCGGGAAAACTCCCGCTGCCAGCATCAACAGGAATTTGAATAAGCACAGTGAGTAATCCAGCCCTATTATAGCAACACTTGGCACTTTGCTTTTAGGAGTCTTTCTTTCAGTGTCACAGGTTCTTCCCCATGCTGCTCTGCAGATACCGTGATCCGTTACAGCCCAGATCTCTCTCATTCTTTTTTTTTCCTGCTCAGCATTACACATTTTGGAGCTGCACATATCCCTGTTTCTGTCCACGGAGCACCATCCTGGACCACCGAGGATTAGCAGCATGGAAACTCAAGGCACCAAGAGATGCCTTCGGACTCGTAAGGGGGTCTTAGCACCAGGATTTACAGTACCACAACACCTAATTTTCAGACAGCTGAGGGCTTTGAGTTAGCACGTAGGTTTCTTACATTATATACAGGGAGGGGAGGGTGCCTCAGAATAATATTCGCAAAGCCAACATGAGACATGGAAGAGAAGGGTGCATTTTAAATCACATCCTCATTGCAGCCCCAGGTATTGCGTTATTTCTCAAGTAGGGGCATTTCCTTCAGCTCTTTATCCTCACCTCGCCCGAAGACCGAATCCCTATACCACCGCCTGGGTGGCAAGGACAAGAGCGATCCCAGCAAGCAGAGAGAAGCAATGAACCTGCCCTTGAAATATGTGAAATATACGCTGGGCGAGCATCCAACCCGTGGAGCTACCTGGCCGGACAGACGAAGCCCAGCCCCACCGCCCTGCCCCATCCAGGCTGCGAGGAGCGCTCCGAGCAGGAAGGCTGAAGCACGCTCCGCGACCCATTCTGAAATGGGGAGCTGGGTCCTGCCTATTTGACACCCTGACTTTAGGGAAAGTTTTAAATGTGCAAAACCCAGGTTTTTACATCTGAGACTCTTTCAGATAGAAAAATGAGGCATTTCTGGCTTGTAGGTGTCTCCAGGATTAGGGAGCAGAATTAGGATAGCACTTTAGGAAATGGCAATCGGATGAGACCTGCATGCTGAATCCTTCTTAAATGACTTACCCAAGGTTACATAGTGAGTAAGTGGCAGAACTGGAAATTAAAGTCAAAACTCGTGTTCTCCTCATTATAAAGTATTATTCTTCCTCAACGTCGCAATGTAAAACGGTCTGTCTCCGTTAAGAGAACACAGTTTCAGAAGACATTAGCTGTACTATGTGGGGTTTTTTGTTGTTGTTGCTGCTGGTTTGGTGGGGGGATTTTTTGCCTTTTTTTGGAGCTAGCTTACATTAACTAGATTATTTAAAACCAAAAGCAAAGCCTGGACACGCTATCGCTGCAGTCTGCCATCTCTCCCACTTAGCCTTGCCCCCTGACTGCGTAATTCAAGTTCCCACAGTACACGTGAAGCTCACGTGTTAACTAGAATTTTGGTTGTTGCTGGGATTTTTCAGCACATCTGCTTTCACATGTACCAACTCTGCAGGCTGCTTTGTATTAACGCAATGAGGGCATTATTTTTGTTATTGTTTTTATGAGTAACTGCTTTCACCCTAGTCTTTTTATCCATTAATCTTAGATTGGAAACTTCACATCTCTCTTCATCCATCTGACTGGGACGGATCTTCTAATGTTTACTCCCCTGTCATAACACCATGCACAGTGTCAGCTTAAACACAACCATATAGAAAATTTCAAAGCCCAACAACTCGATAAGAAAGTCAGATTTACCATATGAAAGGTTTGGTATTTATGGGAGCAGAAATGTGTAAAATGCTCCGATACCATTTCCATTGTTCAGTGCTGAAAAGTCAGCCTTGCTAGCTAAAAGAAGGTTGGGCTGAAGTATGAAAAAACTTGAAAAGGATCCAAGTCTGAAAACAAGGCTAATTTTAGGTCTGTAATAAAATATAGTAATGTTTAAAAGCTATTAGAAGATCTAATTGACAGCTTTATGTTCTGTTCTTCACTTACACGTTTTATGAGGTTCAGGCCAGCAATCCCAGATGCACAGACCTTGCCAGTTTTTGTTGTTCTGTTTTCATCTTGGAAAACTGGCTAGGTTACAGGATACCAAAACAGACACAAAGTTAATTTCAGCAAAAGAAAAGGATTCCTTTCATTGCTCCTTTAACAATTATTGAACCTGATCCTTTGATGATGGTGGATTGAATATTCCTCAGCTAGAGGAAACGACTTTATTTCTCGGTGTGCAGTCCTGCCTACTGAAGTGAAGATCATGTCTTCTGAATACACTCAATCTATGCTCCTGCCAGTTATTTTGCTGAATCAATTATACGGACCCCTTCTTTACCAAAGCTTAATGTGAATTCCTGATAACGCATTTGAAGAGTGGCCTAGAATTACTGCTTCTCTTAGGAACTCAGAAAAAACAGCTATTTAAGAGAAAAGTTTGCATTACTAATCCATTGCCGTCTAATACCTGGGAGTTCTTATGTTACGCGTATTTTGCTTTATACATCCAAACACTACAGCATAATGCCACTGAAATGCAATATACTGTATCCAGTGGCAGTGCAGCCATACCACGAGGTCATAAATTGTTAACACAGGCTATATCTGCGAAGACAGGCAACATCAATTTTGGTCCATCTTTGGAAGTGGCAAGTTTTTTTCTTTAAAAAAAAAAAAAATATATATATATATTGTTGATTTTACCTGGGTTTAAGGCTACGATTTTTAAAAGAAACTACTTCTCTTGGACAGTTGATGGGATCTGGGAACCTATCTTCCTTACCTTCTTTGAAAAGCCTAACCAGTTTTCCCTTCCCCTGTTTGAATCACCCAAATTTCTGTACCTAAGCTATGAATAAGTAATATTAAAAAGCAGGCAAAATATCTAAACAAAAAGCAAGAGCTTCATTTCTTCCTGCCACAAATGTCGGATGAGCCACCAACTAGGGGAACGTCCCCTTGCAGCTTTGAGTTTGATGAGTACCTTTGCCTGAATAATCACAACATCCCTCCTTATCTGCCTGTAGTCCCGTGGGCATCCAACCACTCCCCAAATGGGGGAATATGGAGGGAAAAATGCTATAAACAAGCACTTCACTTCCCTGTTAGAAAGAGGAAAAAAAAAAAAAAAACACCACATAAAAAACCCTAATGACTTGGTTTATAGGCCTGGTTTTTAAGCTCGGGAGATGCCATTGCTCAGGATTCAAGCTGTGGCTACTTAGCACCACGCAGCGTCATCTCAAGTGCCAAGACTCTGGTGTTGAGAACTGGCTTAATATTCTCAAAATTTTAGTGAGCAGACTCATGTGAAGCGGAGACCGTAACACATCAGTGGAAACTATTTGAATACGCTGTAGCTGAAGAGCTTGTAGGCAAGTCAGCACATTGCCCAAAACAAAGCCAGTAAACAGAACAAAAACCAGGGTCGACTGCTCTTGAACAGATGATCTTTATGAATGAGGTGAATGTTTCTGGAACAGTAAAACTATTGAAGCTGCCTTCATCGCTCACACACTATCAATTAACAACTGAAGAGGGTCTCTAGACCCAAGTGGAAAGAAAATGCCTATATAGATTGCATGTGGGTAGTGCAAGTAAAATTAAAAGCTTTATGAAATGCAGCAAAGGATCAGAGAATCAGACCTTCCTTTCAACTTGTGGTTAATACCCATCCTCAGTGAAGCCAAATGTTACATTAGTGTAAGTGGAAAAACTATGTAGAATTATTATATCAGTTAGAACACCTTGTTAACTAACTGGTCTGGTGATTCAGAACTGCTGATGGAACTAAACCTTGAAAATACCTTGATCAATGCTACCCTTGTCTTTCAGGCTTTACAGGTGTACCTGAAATCTCACAGTTTTAAGCCTAGGTGAATATTCCTAAAACATCACCATGTACTGTCAATATCGGAAGGCTTAATTG